CCCCCCCCCCTTCTCTTCCCAGCTCAATTGCGCCGGCCTCTGGCAATCAACAGCCAAGCTGTTTAGCAAAGATCACCTCCAACTTTCTTCATTTGCTAAATACACCATCAGCGCAATTTCTCTTTTGATTTATAGCAAAGAGCTTGCAGGCTAGGTCGCTCGCTCTCGCGCTGGCGGGCCTGCTCTGGAATGCGAATGCATTCACTTGATGAAATAGGTTTCTTAACAAGATTTACTAGAAAGAGAGAGAGAGAGAGAGAGAGAGGGAGAGAGAGGAAGGAAGGAAGGAAGGAAGGAAGGAAGGAAGGAAGGAAGGAAGGAAGGAAGGAAGGAAGGAAGGAAGGAAGGAAGGAAGGAAGGAAGGAAGGAAGGAAGGAAGGAAGGAAGGAAGGAAGGAAGGAAGGAAGGAAGGAAGGAAGGAAGGAAGGAAGGAAGGAAGGAAGGAAGGAAGGAAGGAAGGAAGGAAGGAAGGAAGGAAGGAAAAGAAAATAAAGGCTTTTCGAATAAGCAAATTTTGGAATAAGAAAGTTAAAAAGAATTTCAGATAAATCAAAAGCCATCTCTCGAAAACGAAAAGATGGGAAAACAAACTTTTCCCACCTTTGGCATTGCTTTGCCGTCCTAGATGCCTTTGAAGTTCCTGTTAATGTCGTCGCCTTTGTTGTTCTTATTGTTCTTATGATTACAGACGTCTTCCCATGAGGGATTTTTCCCCCCTCGATAAGCGGCGACACGTCTCTGGGGCGCAGAAAGCTACAGCTCCTTACTCGAGAGGAATCCAGTTCTCAGGTGCCCGATCCCTTCTCCCTTCCGTTTTTCAAGCAGGGCAGCGGAACAGCAGAGAACCCAGCCTGGGGGCTTTCTTGCTTAAATGTACAGCTCAGTTGGGGAGGTTTGCCAGGGCGGGGTTCAAGTCGCCCCGTTCTACCTTTTAGGGTTGCTGGGAAGATGCTCTAGCGAGGGACAGATTCCCAGGAGCCTACCATGTCAAAAGATGTGGTTCTTACTTGAGTGATACAGTAACATAACCAATAACAAAGTATAACCCGAAACCGAATATGGTTGGGGTGTTTAACTACCTCCGACTTGCATATCGGAGCCAAGTAGCTGCCTCTAATTGTCTCCCTCTTTCATTTCTCTTAACAGGACAAGGACCTGCGACCCCCTGTTTCCACCGCCCCGCTCCCACCCCCAGGTCTGTTCGTTACTCTTGCCAGGTAGGCAGGAGAAGAAGCGCTTTCCCAGAGATTGAGAAGACTGGGCGTGTTTGCAAAGTTGTCTCGGGAGGAAGACAAAACTTCAGCCCCGGCTGCTTGTTGTGACAATCGAGGAATGTCGGGTTGGTTTCTGCCTCCTTGGCTGAAAA